GGCATGCTGAGCTTCACTTATCCATTTGGACATTTTCACACAATCCAAACAGGGAAAATATTGGCTGAAGTGATACCCAAGTGCTAGAATTATAGCTGGTTTCAGGGGAAACTGATGGGGACTCAGAAAACCTCTCAGGCACTGCTTTTTCTGTCTGGATTGGCGCCAGGCTTCCTCTGTGCTGTCCCTGCTCTCCAACGCCTCCCCCTCGCGGTGGTAAAGTGGCTGCCAGAGTTCCACCTTATAGTCCTTCAAAGTGGCTGCCAGAGTTCCACCTTATAGTCCTTCCCACTCAGTCCAACAGGAAAAGAGAGCTTCCTCCTCTCTGACAGCTCAAACCAAAGCTTGGGAATTGTGGCTTACTAGTTCTGAATTGCTTTCCTTAGACCATAAACCCAATCTAGAAGCTATCCCTCAACAGAGAGGAGCAAAATGAGCTGATTGGCTTGGCTTTAGGTCACGTGTCCTTCCCAAGGACTGACTGTAAGGTGGAATAGACGCCCGACAAAAATTGAGCTGTTACAAAAGTGATGTGCCTGGCCACCACGTATATTATAACTTGTATAGCTCTGCATTCGAAACATCACTTTTCCCCAGTAAAGTATAAGCCCTGAGATCCCCGGTTCAATGTCTGTCTTGTTCTTCAGCGCCAAGCTGCAAGTCTCATGCGTAGTAAGCACTCAGTAAATATCTGTTGAATGAATGACTAGGACCCATTGATTAATGTCTCTCGATTTAGTCTCCTGTTATTTTTGGTAACTATGAAATTGTGGTGGTGGTAGAGTCTATGATATTTTCAAATCATCTTTATAAATTATTAAATTTTATAAAGGTCTTGCAAAGGGCTTTTTTTTCCATGTAAAAACTGGTGGCTCAACTGGTAACCTGACTGATGCTGTAGCTTACCTTCCTCCGCAGCGTTTGTGCCCGGGAAGCACACCCTCAATGACCTTTTCTTTTCTTCTGGGCCCTAGGCATGGACGACATCGAGCCACAGTCACTCAGCACTTGACGGCCTCCTTCAGCATTCGAGACGCTGGGGACTCACCTCAGAGCTGTGAGCGAGCCTCCCAGCATGCAACATCCGCAGACAGAGCAAATATTGAGATTCTGTAGAGCCTATATTGCAAATATTGGAAGTTAAATAATTCCATAGCCAATAAAAAAAAGACTGGCAACCTTTCTAATGCAAAAAGGGAATATGCAATGTCACTGAGCATGGTATTAAAATTGTAATGACAGATCAAAAAAGGGCAAGAAGCACCAATGATAGGAATAAAGGGGGACAAGAATTTAGGTAAAATTTGTACAAATCCAGGATTTGAAGCCTGATGTAATCCAAGCAATTTCTTTATCTACATAGACCATGTTATTGACCTCTTTCATGTTTTCCCAGCTGGCACTGGGGATGTTTACCACGGTGCTGGGGGGACTCGTGCTCCTTTTTGGGAGCCAGCTCCTTTTCGGTTAGAATGGCTGCCCTGCTGCATGGAGGGCTCATGTCTCAGGAGCTGCCAGGCACCAAAGCTTCATCCCTGCCCTGGCCGGCCAATACGTCTGGCATAGAAGTGTCAGGAAGAGTACTGTCTCCATCCAGATATCCTCTTAGGAGCAAATGGCGGACAAATTTTCAGAAAGCTGTGGGGAGGACAGAGTTCCCACGGACTTGGAAGGGGAATAGAGGTCTGTGCCATCCAGAAAAGAGCAGGTGGGGCGCACTGCCGAGGGTCGCGTCCGGGAGTCGGGACTGCAGCCATGGGGAGCCCTGGCCACGTCAGGTATTTCCACGCCCTGAAACAGCTGTATCTGAAGGGGGTCCCCCAGGCGAGAGAGGGCTCATCTCATCTCTGCTGTATCTGGAGTGCGCCTCCCGGTGTCTGGTCACTACCTAGCCCCAGAACTACTTTGGCCCAACTCTGTGTGTGTGTGTGTGTGTGTGTGTGTGTGTGTGTTTTCCCCCTGTGACTGAGATTGAATTCTTCCTTCTAGGGTATCACTTTGGGCGCCGTGAAGTTGTTTGTGCTCCTAAACTCTTTGTCAGATGTGCTTCTGTTTCTGTTAGAAAAATATAAAGAACTCAGTGATAACATTGGTGTTTATGGTGGAGAACCTGAAAAACCTAGGGAAAGAAAAAGGCTAAAATAAAAATCACTTTTAATCTACCACTCAGAGATAATCATTATCTGCATTTTGACAAATTCATTCTCTTTCTGCTCCCTCCCTTTCTCTGTCTCTGTCTCCCCTTCTTGCCTCCCTCCCAGGAGCAGGATGACACTGGACATGCTGTTTTTTAAATCTGACTTATCCTCACCCACAGACACTTGTGTGTACCCATACTATATTTTGTGAAAATGTTTTCAAGTCATTAAATATTCTTCTGTAATATTATTTTTAGTGATTGTAAAATATTCCACCATTTATTTAACAGAACCTCTATTGTTAGACATGGTTATTCTTTCAGTTCTTTTGCTGTTACAAACATCCCTCTGATAACAAATGTATAAATCTTGGTGTGCATCCATTAATTAATTTTTAAAATCATTTCACAAAGTTTACAATTTACAGGTCTGTAATGTAGCTAATGATTTCTGGTGGTTTGTTGACCTCAGCTTGGGAATAAATTCCTTTGAATAAAGTCCTGACAGGAGGCATTGCCAGCTCAAAGGAGACCCTAAATGATAAGGCTTTTCATGTTACTCCGCACGGCCGCTTTGCTCCCTGCAGGGTTGTGGACTGGGATGCGGGGAATCTGTGGTCAGATTCTCTTTGTGGTGACATGATGCAGCAAAGCTCTTTGACTCTAGATGGCGATGTTTCATCATGTTAAATGCCGTGCACGCAGAATGGATAACAAAAGTTTTCACAGTTACGTGTGGATTTACTAAAACAGAAGAGAGACAACAATGGGCAAGTGGTCATATAAATTTTGTCTAGAAGGCATTTATTCAAGGCCAAGACTCTGCGAATTCTATCTTGGCATTAGCTCTGTGACTAGCCTCTGAGGAAAGGGGTAAATATTCATAAGGGTACATTGAGGTTGCAGATTTTGCAGCCTGAAAAGTTGGAAATATGTTCGCATCCACTAAGTTGTTGTTTCAACCCTTTCCCTAGCATATCTGTTCTCTATTTCTCAGGGCAACTTGGCTGTGGCCCGCCTCACTGTCCCTCCTTGTGACCAACTATGACTCTTAGTGGATCTTCGATCTCTGGGCTTCTCCTGGTCTGCAGGTGGGAGAATCTTCCCTTTTCTGGGGATGGGATGGGTGGCATACCCTGCAATTCACTCTCCTGCTTCCCTCTCTGTGGCCAGCCTCTCTCCTGCATAAACAGTGCAGAACTGGAATGTTAATATGAAAGTTTCTGGATGGAGGGCGGCCCTCCAGGAAAGCCCGAGGCTTCTTTACTGCCATTGAAGAAATGCTTTGGATGGTAGAGATGGTAAGAATCCTGTCAGTCTTTGAGGATGATCACTTTGAGAAAATTGTACCAGTCCTTGTCCCTCCAGGTCCAGAGATAGCGGCTACCTGCTTTGTGCTTCCAAACACAGTCATTCATTCTTTCAAAAACATTTATTGAGTGCTAACTATGTTTGGGATTCACAACAAAGAAGACAGACCTGGTTTCTACTTTTCAGAACTCAGTAGTAAAGGAAACGTCATTTAATTAGTAACAATGTTTTTGACAAGTATCATAAAGGACAAGTACAATCCTTACAAGAATTATAAGTAAATTCTTACAGAACTTAAAAGAATCTAGCTTGGGAAGCCAAGGACAACTAGGAGTTGGTGTGGTGAAGGGAGCAGGGTGAGGGAATTGGGCAAGGAGGACAGCAGTGCACAGGGCCCCTGGGGGGAGGGAGGGACATGATACACAGGAGGAATTGAGAGTGGGTGCAGGCTGGTTGGTGTCTGGCGGAGAGTGGCATGGCATGAGGCTGGAGAGATTTTGAATGTATCTAAGAGCGTTTGGAAAACTATATAAAGGTTTAAAATAAGAAAATAATAACAAACTAATGGGATCAAATTTGATTTAGAGAAGATTGCTTGCAGATATGTGGAGAATGGCTCAGTGTATGGATGCTGGGAAAGTAGGTGAGAAGCTATGAAATCTTCTGGTCCAAAGGTTTTGGTGGTGGTGGTGGGGATGAGGGGTGGATTTGAGAGATACGTAAGAGGTGAGAGAGCCAGGAGTTGGTAACTGATTATGTGGGGAGTGAGAGGGAGGGAGTAATGATGGCTAGCATCCAAGTGTCCGGCTTCAGGAGTAGTTGAGTTTATCAAGACATAGATAACTGGAAGAGAAACAGATGTGGGCACAAGATTATGAGGTCAGCTTTAGACAAGTAGCATTTGTAATATATGGGAAATATATATAGTCAAATGTATAGATCTGGGATCCAGAAGAGAGTTGGGTGGCACAATGATCCTCAAAGTATGATCCTTAGACCAGCAGCAGCACCTGGGAGCTTATTAGAAATGCAGATTCTCAGGCTCCATTTCAGACCTAGTGCATCCAAAACTCTGGGAGTGGGGCCCAGAAATCTGTTTTAACAAGCATCCCAGGTGATTCTGATTCATTCTGAAGTTTGAGAACTACTAGACTATATCTCCAACATTTAGAAGTTTTGTGGAGGAGGATGAATAAGCAAAGAATCTCAAGGAATGACAAGGGTTGTAGCAAGAAAACTGCGGCAATAGGGAGTCACAGAAGTCAAATGAGGGAGAGGTCAACTGGGTGAATCCTTCTCAGAAGTCAAATAAAATGAGGACTGAAACCAGTCTGTTGGCTTAACAACATGAACGTTATTGGTGATGGTAGCTAGACCAATTATGAGGGAATGGTGGGGCAAGTAGCCCAATGAGCGTGGCTTAACGAAGGAGTGGCAGATGGAGAAGTGAGAGTGGCACGTTCATCTTTGATAAGCTTGCCTTAGAACAGAAAATGAAAGATGGGTGGTAGTTGATGGGGAATGTGAGGTTGAGGTTTTTTTTCTTTTTAAAAAAAATATGGAACACTTCACGAATTTGATTGTCAGCTTGCACAGGGACCATGCTCATCTTCTCTGTATCATTCCAATTTTATTATATGTGCTGCTGAAGAGAGCACGAATTTTTTTTTAAATTGTATGTATTTTAGGCATACTATAGAAAAGTGTACAAATCACAAGTATATGGCTCAACTCAGAAAACTTGGTGACCAAACTCAATTGTTTTTAAATCATTTTTAATATTAGGATACTTTTTATTGAGATGGAATTGACATATAACATTATATTAGTTTCAGGTGTACAACATAATGATTCAATATTTGTATATGTTGCAAAATGATCACTATAATAAGTCTAGTTAACATCCATCACCATACCAAACTCAACTGTTTTTGATCATAAAAGTGGAGAACAGCAGGGAACGGTGTCCTTTCCCTGGAGCCCAGTCGCACTCTGCATCCGGCTACCCCAGCCCAAGCCCGCTCTCCTCAGAATGCTGTTCACCTGAGCGCTTCCAGGAACGGTGTCTGTCTTTCCTCCAGGAAGCCTGTGAGACTCCAGCTCCAGGGGTGGATCCTGATTAGTTTAAATGAATCATGGTCATATCATTCTCCTGCCCAATGACTGATTTGGTCCCTAGGCCTTGGACAATCAGCTATTTTCACGGGTAAAGGGGTGGACAAGCAAACTAGGTTGATCCAGTCAGACTGAAGGAAAGGCTTTATTCCATGGTTCAGGGGAAAGCTATTCACTCTCTTCCACTGGATGGGAACGAGAAAGCATGCTTCCATTGTTGCTGCTTGTGGTCTTCTTTCAACAGTGAAGGAAGGCAGCGTGAAGACAAAACCTTCACACAAAGGAGCGCCAAGCAAAGCAAGAGAACTGGAGAGAAATGGTGCCAGAGCCCCAACTGCTCTTCACTCAGAATCCTCAGGACCTCAGAATTTCCTGCTATATGAGGTAAAGGTGATTATTATTTTTTTCAGTTCAGTTCATATTTTCTGTTGCTTAGAGCTAAAAGCATCCTGACACAGGTAGGTGTCATTGCTCTCTTGGGTATGGATGAGGAAACTGAGGCTCAGAGAGGTGAGATCGCATGTTTCAGTCATGCAGCTAAAACTTTGGACCCACATCTGCTTGATTTCTAAGCTTCTGTGCAGCATGGCTCTCACTGGTCTGTATTTATTAGGGACACAGCAGAAAACAGATTGCATAGTCAGATGGGGTAATTAAGCAGAGTGTAATAAGGGGGCCCTTTACAAAGGTGTGGGCGGGTTTAAGGAACCCCCCCCCCCCAAAAAAGGTAAATGAAGCTCCCAGGGCTAGTAATAGACATGAGTCACTTATACTCCTAGATCCACAGGGACAAGGGAGAAAGGAGGAGATGGGGGCCTATTTGGGGAAACTGGAGTGAGCTGTGGCTCCGGACATAGGAGAGGGTCACCCTTTGGAGCTAAGGTCTTTGTAGGGGATTACAGCCGTGACCCAACCTTTGGCCAGACTGTGAGGGAGCCTGGGTGACAAATACTTTCGTTGCTTTCTTCTCCCACCCTTCAGTCTCCTGTTGGGCTCCCTTGAGAAGCCAGTGGGCAAAGGGGCTTGGATGACGCAGTCCATAGATCAGGGAACAGAGCAAGAAGAAGGAGGGAGGAAAGACCTGGAGGAGCAACTGGAAGAGATCCCACACAAGGAACCTCTCACTTCCTACCAGTTCCCAGACTCCCCCAGTGCTGTGGATTGGTTAACCGGGAGGAGACTCTGAGAAGATTAGCTTGCAGGACATCAGTATGAAGTGTTTTTGCCATCAACACCCATGGAAGAACGGGAAGGAGGTAGAATTGGGCAGAGAGAGAAGATGAGATGCAAAGCAGTCCAAAAGAAGGCCTCAGCCAAACACATGGGGAGCTCTGGGCCTGCGTGGTCCTTCAGAATTCTCCATAGTTTGGGGTAAGGGGCCTGACCATGTTATAGCCCAGTGTTGATCAGTCATGGGTTGCAGACTGAGTATCCAAGTGTCACTGTGAACTCAGACCCTTTGTCAAAAGTCCTTATATTGTTTGGATTTCCCTTTCTCAAGTGTACAGTTCCCTGAATCAATTGGCTAAGTCTCTTTGGAAAAAGATTGAGGGCAATCACTTCTTGTATACTTGCCATGGTGTTGCTGGATTCTTCCTCCCAGAGACCTGGCTTCTCCTTCAGTTGATGAGTTCTGGTTCTGAAACCCGACTTATGTCTAGAAACTGATAAAGGAATCATGACTTTGAATTGGGATGACTGCCTTCAGACTCCTGATTATCCATCTTGGGCTTCTTTGAATTCTACAGACTGAAAAGCACCCTTGTTGATTGCTCATCTGGTTCACCTCCAGCGAAGCTCCTTTCTATTGACCATCTCCATAACCCCCAGCTGGTCAGGCCTCCTTCTGCCACTTTGACCTTGCCACTCATTGCATTACTTTCCTCCACCTGGCTTCTACTGGTTAAGTGCTGATACATGGCCTTGATTATTTTGGAGGTTTAGCATGCCCATTGCTAACAGATGTGAGCCCATGTCTGTGTCTCCTATCATCTGCCCTGGCCCATGGCGGGAGCCACCACCAAACTTCTTAGTGATGTTTTTGGCCCTCTCACTAGTCATTCCTCATTGTTTTGGTAAATGGTAGATGCTCTCTTTGAAACAAAGTGATCTGGTGGATTTTCTGGCTTTACGTAGTGTATCCACTTTGCTATGTCTTTTAATCCCTTTTTCCACTGTCTGGCACTGTAATTCTGGTATTTCTATCTCACTTAGTGTGGGCTATCCCCTTTCTCACGCTTCTAGAGGTCACCCTAGATGTGTGTGTGCACCATTTTCAAGGGTCCCTGTCAGAGTGTTAAATGCTGTGTCATGAGAGACCACTCCCACATCAATAAACTTCAGTCAAATTTGTTTTGCCTACCTTAGTCCAGCACAAGCAGAATCCAGTCCTATTTATACTTTTCTGGCTACTACTGCACCATGGAGTTACTTTGGGCTATTGTCCTTCTCCTTCCAGCATGTCTCAAATTGGTTTATGTTGTGATTTAAGTATAGTTATTGGTCAAGTGGCCAGGGCAGAGAGTGGGGATAGAGACTGAGCTGGCTCATGTTCTTTTGCACAGGCAAGATCTGTGCATGATCTTCAAGCAAAAGAAGAGTGGCAACCCTTCACTAGGGGGATTGGGCCACTTCCGCAGGCTTAGAGAGTGATTCAAGGTTTTTGAGTCCATCAACCTGGATGTCCTCATCCCATGTGTCAGAATCTCATTCTTTCCAGATCAAGGCCCTGATTGTGGCACAGCTGATCTACCTTGGTTGGGAGTTTAATCTACGAAACTCGACTGTCCCTGGGTGAGGTGCACAGCTCTCTGCCCTCCTGCTGAGGAGATGAAAAGCACTTTATTTGTCATCAAGGAAGTACTCTGCCTTTTACACTTAGCTTTTTATTGCCAATTTATCCATCTCAGCTTTTTGTTATCTTTATCCAGAGCATCAACAGATGGCAACAGCCAGTCTATTCCACTATCCTTGCAGTTGCTATTTCCCCCATTTTTCCCTCAAAATCCAGATAATGCATTCCCTTCCATCAATTCTTGTTCACCATCTGTAAAAGTTTCAACAATTGCACCATTACCATGTGCCAGGGCTATCTGTGCTGCTCCTATTATCAGAGATGGGGCCGCATTGCCAGCAGGTGGGCAGGTGATCCAGTTTGAAATTCTCATCTTGGCATTTGTTTTCTCACTGCTGAAACAAACTGTGTTGCCAGTTGGGTTCCCTGGGAAGCCAACCGTGAAGTAGAGAAAGGCATGCCGGCAGCTTATTTGTGAATGCAACTTAAAATTCATTTGTATGCATGTGGCTAAGTTTTGTTTCTTTGAGCTGGTGATGCCCCTGCAATGGAAAATCTGACTTGTAGCCTTAAAATATCTGGCCTCTTCAGAAATTTTTTGGGTAAGACAGCCAAATAATAACACTCATTTAATGTAAGGAGAGGACAAGTACAGAGACTGACAAAGAATGTCTTTCCCTGCTAGATGTTGTCAGATTAATAAGGAAAAGTAGTAAACAGTGAAAATCCCTTAGGAAGCAACATTTAAAAGCTGTTCACAAATATGTCATTTAACAGAAATCATACTCACCTTTCCCCTATTTTTCTATCATGAATAGCTGCTGCAGATAGAAATTTACATATATATGTGAATATGCATTATATGAAATATATAATTTATAGTCTATGAGTTTACTGTTCTGATAATTTGCATAGATTTGTAGATTTAATTCTTTTGGAATATTGTTAGATAATTTCATATTACTCATTCTTGTCCTGTAGAGTTAAATATCTTGATACCAAATTCAAAAATATCACAGTATAATTATAATGTAAACGTCCAAATAATAATTTTAATAATGTAAGTAATAGTAATAACATCGGATATTTATGAAGTGCATCTTTTGTGGCAGACTCAGTGCTCAGTATCTCAGTGTTGTTATCCTCCATGACGCTCACAGGCGTCTCTGACTCCTCAGCCCATAGTCCTAACCTCTGCCCCGTAAAGGCAGCTGTGCTAGTCTGGAGTGTGCTGTTCTTCACCGCATCAGCTCGTCCAATTCACTGACAGCTTACCCCCGATAACGGTCATGAAAAGAGCCTTCTAAATTCCATCCTTTTACTCTTTCACGTCAGGTGGATTCATTTGGATCATTCTATGAAATTGACTGTTGTCCATCAAGATCCAACCAAAGAAGAAATAGCAAAATGCTGAGGGTGGTCACAGACTTTCTAGTTCCCCAAGGAGCTCTGCTCCTTGTGCTTTTGGATCTCTGCACGTGGCCTTCCTTTGGCTGAGCATGGCCTGCCCCCTCCACTGCTGACCCGACAAAATTCTCTCACCTCTAAGTTTCAGTTCAAACATTGCTTCTTGTTTTTGTGATGCCTTTTGAGTTTCTCAGGTTGACAGAGGCATTTGCCTATGCTCTTTGTTCTCGTTCTCTCTCCCTTGCTCTCTAATCTCCACACTAAGAATGATTTTCTTTCTAAAATGGAATTATCTGTAGAGCTGTTTGTCTATCAGGTTAGGAGATACTTCAGAGTGTGTTC